CTTTAAATCCTCCGTGTTCATCTTCATGAAGTAGTAGTCCATCGTCTTTGATCTTTGGGACCTCATCTGGCTCGATTCGCTTCTCGACCAGTACGTATCGAGATTGCAAGATGTGATGCCCTTCTCGTCGAATCTTCTCTGACTCTTCTGGTGAGAGGATCTCATAGGCTCCCGTTTGTATATTGTTGTCGACCTCCTTCTTGATGGCTTTCCAGAACTTCGTCCGGTCTTCTTGTAACAGCTCTTTCAGTTTTATTTCTTTTTGTCCTTTCTGCTTCTTGATCTCGGGCGTCAATGTCGCCATCATCATCTCTATCCAGTCAATTCTTTTTCGTTTCGCAGGTCCAGGAGGGTCACTTTCTTCAGCTTCTTCTAGAGCTCGGGACATTCCTCGAGATTCTTTGGCTTGTTCTTCTTCCTCTCTTCTCGCCTTTTTCTCAAAGCCTGTGGCTTCTTCTTCATCATCTTCCATTGTTCTCTTCGTTCCATGTTCTTCCTTCTCTTCTCGCATGCTGGGATCTTCGTAGATCTTCTCCTGGTGTGGTTTCTCTGCCTCGGTCTTCTCCCATGGCAGTAGGTCATCATCCATTTGAAACTCTGTTCTTCCTTTCCAGCGATGGTCTTGTAGAAGAGGTTCTCCATGCCACTCATCAACTATTTCTTGTGTGGTCCCATCCTCAAAGTACATAGTGGTCCTCCTTTGTGCCTTGAGTCGGTTGTAGTCGATGGGACAATCAGCCACGTCGTTTGGCTTGAAGGTTGTCTGCCTCCATTGTCGATGGAACCTGGTCAGCGTTTTGTGAGTTTCATGCCATAGCCATTCATCTTCTTCTGGCTTCATCTCTACTTCTTGACTGGATGTTTTTCCTTCGATCTTGTATTTTGGTCTCTTCGGTTCTTGGTCGAGGTTTAGTCCTCCATCTTGGTCTAGTTCTTGGTCAAGTTCTTCTCGAGGACTCTCCTTCGTCAGGTCGATGTATCCAGACTTGGGTTCTTCTTCTAAGATGCGCCGTAGGTTCGAGAGGCCTTCCATCCATGATGATAAAGATTGATGTTCTTCGGCACTTGCAAGTCTGAGTTGTTCAGGAGCTGCTTTAACAATGTGTCTCCGGAAGCTAATCCAGATCGCTCCAGGTGGTGAAGTCAGTATCACTTTTGCGGGTCCTCGCCAGTAACTTGGACTTTCTTTGCTGGCCTGATCTCCTGGCGCTTTCCTCCAGAAGAAGACGGTCTGACCCACTTCAAAATCTGTGACTTCTCGTCTTCCGGCATGTAGTGAATTGGTGAGTGCTTGTTGGCATTCGACTTCATGGAATGCTCTCGCAGCAGCCAATCGCATCGTCTGAGCTCGCTGAATTTGTAGATCTCCTCGGTGTGCCCAACTTCGAGCTTCTTTTTCTTCTTCAGTCAAAAACTGTAATCCTCCGGGCATCTTTGGGGTGTATCCCAGCAATCTTTGGCAGGGCGAGAATCCAGATTTGTTTGCCAATCTGTTGACCGTCACGTTCACAATATCTACCAAGTCTCGCCATTCCGAGTCCGATTGCACGGCATAGTTGTCCATTGCTTTCACCAGGATCTCCTTGAAGTTCTTCCCAGCCCTCTCGGTGATGGATCTCTGAGTGGGCATTTCTAGTGCACTGGGTTCCACCAAAGTTTCATCCAGTTCAGCTCCATCTTGAAATGCTGAGCAAAACTCTTTTCCAAGGTCGGTGTAGAGCCTTTGTGGAACCCCCATGAACCGAATCCATTCCAGGTAGGCTCTTCTGGCGTCGGTTGCCGTGTGACTCCGAAGTGGGATCACCATCTGGAATCGAGTCGACCAGCATACGATGTTCAATGCCATTCTTCTTTTCTTTCCTGGTGTCGGTAGCCAAACTGTATCGATGCCGATCGTGTGATTTGGTGGAAGTTCCTTTGGAGGGGCGGCCGCTCTTGGAGGTCTCACCAGCTGTTGTTGCTGACATGTTGAACACACCAGGTTTTTTGCATATTCGATGGCCTTCTTCGAAGCGTTGGCTCCCTTCAAAATTCGAGCCAACCTCGCATTTCCAGGGTGTCCCAGTCCTTCATGTGCTCGTCGAACCAGTTGTTCGGTCGAGAATGGTCGTTCTCTGGGTAAATATGCTTTCTCTTTTTGTTCTTCTGCTTCTTCTTGTTCGGGTTCGTCTTGGAGAGGATGTGCTTCGTGGTGTCTTGACTCTCGTGATTCAGCCCGAGTGGCGTTCATGAACCAGAGCCATAGGTTTGTTTTCTGTTGTACCCTTCTCTCAAGCTCCTTATAGTCCTCAAGGCCCAGCCATTCCATCTCGTCGGACTTGATCTTGTGGTGTTCTTTGATTTCTTGGCAGTAACCTTGTAGTATCGCCTTGATCAAGGCTGGAGGGTATTCTTGAGCTTGTGTCGCTCGGCTGCTTCCCACGCACGAACCGAGGACCGGGGTGTGTTGATGTTCTCCTTGACATTGCCGGTTCAGCTGCTCTGCAATCCTCGGGCTGTTTGTAATCCACCCAGTCTGTTTCTTCATGATGCCTCCTGCTCTGTCGTGCAATCCAAATTGGCACTGGTCGCATTTCGCGAGGATGCAATTCTCCTTTTGGGTGATCTTTTGCAGTGCTCTCTCCATCCATGCTCGAGAGGTCATTGGTTGCTCGAGGAGATAGATGCCACTATAGTCCTCGATGATTTCTACGATCTCGCATGCGAAATGCAGGAGCACTCGAGCTTCTCGAAGTCGTTGCTGGAAGTTCTCCTTGTCCACATTCATGTTCTGCATGATTGAGAACAAAGTACAGGGAGGTGATATAATAGTCAAACCTGGTCGTTGTTCTCGGAAGAATCTTTTTACCCCGTCTCGTTCTCCTGGATCCAGTAGTTGGTCGCCAAGCTTCAGATCGAAGGCAGCTGCAGCAATCAGTCCTGACCGTTTGCAGTAAGGTGCGAAACGCTTGGGGTTGAACAGCTCAGCAACTGTCTTTGGGGTTCCCTTAACCATCTTAGCATAGCGCCGATGAACTTTCGAACTGGACTTGATGCGCTCTAAGTCTTTTGCAATGGCACAAATTGGCTCATCAGCACTCAGGAGACCCATGAGCTCAGTCAGGTAGGACTCCGCGCTCCGAAGAGAAGCTTCCATGGCCTTATAGGTTTTCTCTCCAAGTTCTCTCCACTGGCCGGGAAGTTCATTGTGTATGTTGGATCTCACTTCTGACGATCCTTCTGGCTCTTCCATTTCTGGTACTCGAGGAACTCCTTGAACTCCTCTGATTTCTCCTCGTCGGTTTCTCCCATGGATTGGATCTCCTTCTTGACTTCCGTCTTGATGTGCGTGTCTGGTGCATCCGACTTCCGTTCGGATTTCAATGTCTTGTTGCATTGCAGGCACTTCTCCACCAAGACGAAGGCATTTGTCCCCCTTTTGGTTGTCTGAGTATGTTGGCAGTTCTCGGGGTCGATCAATCCAGGTTTTCCGGCTTTTTCCTCGATCTCCTTGGAGGGCTCCTTCCGGTTCTTGTTCTTTGGAATCGGTCGAGTCTTTGGAGTCGGTGTTGGTTCCTGGAGGATTGATGGAGTCGTCGGAGATCCTGGAGACGGCCGGTAGCTGATCGAGCGCATCTCTTCGGAGGTGGTCACCGGTGTCTGTTGGACTTGGCTGGGCGAGTGCATGGTCCGAATCGATGGACTGCCCTCCTCGGCCGGTGTCGTCCATAGCGTGAACACCTTGTTTCGTCCCCGATTGGGAACTGATTCCCATTCCGCATCCTCCGGGTCGGTCTCGACATCTGAGTCCTCCTCCTCGATTAGCCTTTTCTTGCGACGCTCCCCAAGAAGGTCCAGGGCGAGTTCGCTCAATCGGATCATCACGAAGATGAGCTTGGTCACCAGTCGGGCCCAAATGGACACATAGCGGCTCTCTTCGACTCGGCTGCGCTTCATGGCAGGAAGTTGACGACGAGGCTGCTGATGATTGAGCAACTGGATTGCTTGAACCCACCGATCTCGAGCCAGATATCTGCTCGTTGGCCATCGTCTTCATGATTTCGAATTCCTTGGATCCTGCTTGCATTTGATCATGTAGTTGTTGAAGCCGTTTTGTCTGTTCTTTGTTGAACTGATTCAAAGGAACCCGAAGTGCTCCAGTAGGTCCTAAATGGCAATCGACACCAAACCCAAATCGTCGAAGATATAATCGAAGACCTTTTTGAGGATCCAAGTACAAAACAGCACGGCAGTGGAGTAGAAAAGGGAGCGAGATCAAGAATGGAGCCTTTCGTGATTCACCTTCTTGAAATATTGCTGGTCGTAAGATGCTACCTTTGTGTCCTAAGCTTGTCGGGATCGTGGCCAAATGCGACGTCGTCGAAGTTCCATTGACCGACCTAAATCGATGTTCTTGAGGGACCGTTCCAATGCACAAGGAACTAGGGATGTGGTTGGACAACCTCAACAATGTATCGGCCCCAACAGCCATTCGTTGACAACCAGTGTCGATTGCGGCGCATCCATCATCATGCGTACTGCTTTCTGACCATGTGGAAGACTGGCTTGCTGACGTTTCTGTCCTCCTGTGGCGGTCTTTCGGGTGATCATGATTCTCGGATGCCTTCCCCCGCAAACTAGAATCCCCCAAAACAAACAAAACTTCACTCTCATTTCCCCCAAACCCCTTACCAATAGCAGCGCATTGGACCTTATATCGGGAATGAGATGTGTGCTTCTGTCCAGCTACAGAGTGGGAGCTGGATACCACTGCAAAAACACTGGTTTTCCGATCACCCTCAGGCTCAGTCGGGCTTTTGCTCGATGTAGTGGAGGTCACCGTCGGAGGCATCAGTGAATCTTTCTTCACGTCCATCTCGACGACAGGGCCCTCCTGCTCCATGAAAGCCTCTTCTGGCGGTTCATAGTCCTCTTCAAGGTGGCGCATTTGATCTCCATAGATCTCTCGATCCAATTGATCTTCGGGATCCATCAGGCGGAAGAGCTTCTCATCATTGAAGTCCTTCATGTCCTCTTCCATGGTCGGCTCACTCACCTCAAGATGCCCACAGAAGAAGGCTTCTTCCGATTGTTCTTCCTTGATCTTCTCCATGTAGTAGTTCTCTTTCGTCGTGCTCTTTCCACGACCTTTGCCATCAGGACATTCTCGATGCCAATGTCCCACCCGCTTGCAGATGGCACATCTGCTGTTTTGCTTTAGTTGGTCGATCAGCTTGCTCTTGCCTTGCTTTCCTTTTTCTTTTCCAGACCCTTTCCAGCCTCCATAGCCCCTGGCGAGCTCTTTGGCCTTCTTCAACTTCATGCTCTGGCTGAAAGTTCGGTTCTGGACCAGAGTGTTCAACACCTCTCGAACTTCATGTTCGTCCAGCGTCTCATCTTCTTCACCTTCGCCTTCTCCATCTGGTCCATTCTCTTCCCCCTCGTCCCCGAGCTCCTCGAGGGCGGCCTCGAAGATCTCATTCTCATCGAGGTAGTCGGTGTGCTCATCGGCCACGATGTGGTGCACAGGTGCAGTAGCCGATGAACTGGACGCGGTCTTGCCCTTGTTCTTGTTCAGCTCGATGCCCACTTCCTTGGCCATGAGTTTCGTTTCATGTTTTCTGACCCAATCCTTGACGTCCTTCGTAGAGATGCTTCCCCTCGTGAAGTTCATCATGTTCTTGATGTCCTGTTCGCTCAGGTTCAAGGCGTTGATCAGAAGGAAGCCTTTGTAGGGGTCGGGCAGCTCTACCTTGTGCGAATTCACTCGCCTCATTGCTTCTTCCCATCGATTGAAGAAGATGCGGTGCTCCTCATTCTTCTCCCTGCGGATGTGGTAGGTGATCTTGGCCAGGGAGCTCAACAAATCTTCTTCACGATCATCACCGAAGTTCTCTGGCAAGTCCATTGCAGCCAGTAGTTCATGTCCTCCTTCATCGTTCTGAAGCCAAGTCGAATCCCTGGCCCAATGCTTGAAGGTCTGGAATGCCACTCCTGACAGACCCTGAAGCAACATAGGACCCTGTGAGTTCTTCCGGGTCTTGGTGGTGGCAAGCCATAGTTTGGCCTTGATCAGCCAGTCCTGGAAGGGGATCGAAGTCCCATCCCACTCAGGTGCTTTGGCGTTGGGTCCCCCACGCCAATCACTTTCATCTTCTCGAGGTCCACCTCGATCACGGTCACGAGCTCGATGTCGCCGGTCGCGAACAAATTCACGGTACTCATCACTATCGAAACCATCAGACCAGCCAGGGCCTCCTGGCGTCATGCCATCTCCTTGAGATCGTCCAGGGCCTTCACGATGCCCTTCCTCAACTCCACTTCCATCACTGCGAGGGATTGGATGGTTCCTTCCATCCGCCATGGCAACTAACCCAAACTAACACGGACGCACCCTGGAGCTTGGTGCTCCGCTACCACTATGGATCAAACCTGACGGACATTTTTCCGCCAGCCACAGGGTCCTTGCCCCGACTTGAGCCACGGCGTACGTGGCTTGCTTTGGTACACTTCTCGTTTGTGCGTTTCAGCCAACAGGAGACGGAATTCACATCGCTCCTACTTTACATTGGCTGAAACCTGCTGTTTGAGCTCTTTGGCTCCGACTTCGAACAAGGTCCAGTACGCAAGTTTCATGATTCCCCTCAAAAAGCTAGCAGGACCTTTCTTAGTAAGGGCATCCGAAATCATGATTTCCCCCGCCACCCATCGCAGCTGTCCTTTTGTGTGCTGCAAGTCATTCTTCAGAATCGTCAAGTCGATGGCTGTCCTCTTGTCATCCACGCGCGATGCAATGTTGGTCGACTTGCTCAGATTGTCGAACAGCGA